AAAAAAAAAAAAGAATATACATTCCCTTTCGTGGTCTTTGGAAGATGTGAATGCAAGTTTTCAAACACGTTGCTTTACACAGAATGACCACATAACCCAGCAATTCCACTGCCGGGTCTATGCCTAAGAGAAGTGGAAACAAATGTCTACACAAAAACGTGGATGTAAGTGTGCACAGCAGCATTTTTCGTAACAGCCAAGAAGTGGAAACAACCCAATGTCCCTCAAGTGCTCAAAGAATAAAGAAAACAGGTAGAACCCTACAACGGGATACTATGCAGCCAAAAGGCAAACAAAGTGCCGGTACAAGCTACACCACGGAGGAGCCCGGAAGACACTAAACTGAGGCAAGAAGTCGTACAACGTGACATGGGGTCCCATTTAGGTGGAATGTCTGCGCTAGGCAAATCCACAGAGGGAAAAGCAGATGACTGGGTGCCTGGGCTGGTGGTGGCGGGGGATGCGGCCCCTGCTAACAGGGCCACTGCTAACAGGCCCGGAACTTCTTTCCTGGGTGATGCAAACGGTCTACAACGGACTGTGCTGTGGGTAGCACGACTCTATGAACACATTAAAAATTGCTGAACTGGACACTCTGGGTGAGTTGCGGGGTATATGAACTTTATCTCGGTGAAGCTCTGTGAAAGAAAAGGTCAGCAGGAATCTGGCCACTCCCCCAATCATCTCAGTCTTGATCCCCACACTGCTAGCATCTGAGAGAGCTGAATAGCTCTCCTTAGGTCCTTCTGCTTTCCGTCAAACTCCACTCCCCAGCTGTTCCTCCGCTACGCTGCTCCCGGCTGCCCTCCTCTCCCCTCCCCACCTGATGGTCCCACAACGATCCAACAGTCCTGACTGGTCTTTGCCACCTTCTCCTCCTGATACTGTCCCACGTAACGGTATCTTTGACTTCAACTAACACCCAGCCCCGCCACCATGAACCCCAATCTAAATCCTTTTCCAGCAACTTTTTTACCATCAGCAAGATATCTCCCAGAAACACTTTGGAAAATCTCATTATTTCTCAAATCCAACTCCAGAAAGTAGTGTCCATTTACTGAGAGCTTACCAGGTATGTGCTCCCAGCTAAGCACATCACATAGCCTCCCACTATCCTCACAACAGATCTAAAAGACAGTTTTATCTATTTCACAGATGAGGAAACTGAAGCTCAAAGAAATGTAGTGCTAATCCATATTCTTGACTATAAGATTACCTTTCTCTTTTAACTCCTCGGCTTCCCTAACAATGTCTTCTCCTTCTGTGCCTCTTTTCTATTAACGATATTGCTGTAGTGTAAGTTTACAACTTTATATCTGAATATTTCTTTCTTTTACTCCTCACATTCCACAGTTGCCAAGTTTGGTCAGGTCTATCTATTCTCTATTCCTTACTGCCATTATAATAGTTTAGAAGGACATCCTCATTAGTCCTGGATGACTGTACTAATCTCTTGGTGCTGGAAGGTACCTTCAGTATCTTTTCTAGTCCAATCAACCTTTAAAAAAAAAGTTCTAGAGCTCCTGGGTGGCTCAGTTGGTTAAGCGTCCAACTTCAGCTCAGGTCACGATCTCGTGGTTCATAGGTTCAAGCCCCGCGTTGGGTTCTGTGCTGGCAGCTCAGTCCCTGGACCCTCCTTCGGATTCTGTCTCCCCCCCCTTCTCTCTCTGCCCCCTCCCATTCATGCTCTGTCTCTCAAAAATAAATAAAAACATGAAGAAAGAAAGAAAGAAAGAAAGAAAGAAAGAAAGAAAGAAAGAAAGAAAGAAAGGAAGGAAGGAAGGAAGGAAGGAAGGAAGGAAGGAAGGAAGGAAGGAAGGAAAGAAAAAATATAAAAAGTTCTGATATGTAACCTCTATTGGAAACTCTTAATTCTTAGACTCAAAGCTCATTTATTTGTTTAAAGCTCTGATTTTAAAGATTTTTATATCATTAATGAAACTGACTTTTAATAGAAGTATCTCATGAAATTAATTAAACCCCACTTCATCCTGTAAAAGAGATTCTTTTTTCTCACAGACTTACCTTTGGCTGGGTCACCAAGAGTAGTAAGAGCACCGCTGCCCACACAGAGTCCACGCTGACATACTAACTTTGCCTTGAAATAAATAAAAGACAGAACTTTGCTTATCGTATCAGTCTTAGGAGAGACAATGAAATAACACTACAACAGAACCTTGCAAATAGATATGGAATGTGTACACAGTATGTATTTACGGCACAAAGCAAGCTTATGCAAGGTAACTGTGTTTGGTTAATAGTTTATGAAATGTTATCATTTCTGTTAACAAACATGTCATCAGCAAAACTAAATTGAACAAGCTCACAGATTAAGTCCTCTCTTGAAGATTTCAATTATAGCTATGGAATCACTAAACTGGAAGATGTGTTAACCCCAAATGCCTCTTTTAGTATGAATTCACAGTGTCTCTTATTTGTAAGTGGATGATTAAGCAAATAAATGAATTCTTCTGGTATTACTATATAATCCTTATGTATATGCTAACGTTAAGTATTTTTTAAGCATCTACCTTTATTCTTCAATCACAATCACAATCACAATCAAAATACTGAATTATCTTAAGTTGAATTATAAATCGCTAGTGTTGTTAAATCTGTATCCAGGAAGCCATACACATCTTTGGAGGCACACCCTCCACATAGCAGTTTCCTTCTCCCAAAGTTTTGGTACAAACAATACAGAAGTTCAATCTTCAAAGACAGTCATGAAACAATTTCAAGTAACTTGACTGCTGAAAGTGTTCGCCTTATCCCACCATGTAATTGAAACTTGAAAAAGCCTCCATAAGAAACAGAAAGTATCTATGTGAACCATGATCCAGAACGGTGAAATATCCATTCACCCCGTCAAAAGGCATTACTGATACTTAAGAAACCTGCATTCATGCAAATCTGACCTCGAGCTGACAGTGTATTGCAGATGAAACTAAAGCAGGCCTGTGAAAAGGTGTAGAAATCAAATCTCTTTCATAATCAGCCTTCACAACCATTTATACTGCCACCAAAAGTACGTAACAAAAAACGCTGGTGAACTGGGAATTTTACAAATCTTAGAGAACTGAAATACCGATATTTAACGATATCATTAATTTTGTACACTAAGATCACAAAATTAGTGTTCTATGACCTAACCCCCTTACCTGACTTTCAGTTTCAAACAGAAGAAATCCGTAAGTCTCTTTAAGTTCTTCCTGAGTATAATTACTTGCTTTTTTTTCTTGGTAAAAAGCTTTGTACTGTATAAAGAGAGAATAGTTGAATGCTATAAACATTTATTTTGCCTTGCAAATTAATTTTTAAAAATGCATCATCTGAATTCCTCCTGTTAAAAAACTAATGAAATTTATTATTTTTTCTATTCCCTAGAATACATTCTTATTACCTTCCAAGGATTTCTTATCTCATCTGAAAGTGACAGCTGAGAAGAACAAGGCTTATATACCAAAAATGATGGGTCTATTTCTTTAAAACTAAAATAAAACTAACACACAGACACAGTGTGTACCAAGCACCTCACCTCATTTAAGAAAATGTCATTTTTCACCAAAGTCACTTGACTGTACTGAAAACCATGCTCAGATGCAGAGTCCAAGTAAGAAGTATGAAGAATTGAAATTGCCCTCTGGAAGAGAGAGTCTGAACTCAAGGACACTGTCTCAAAAACTGTAAAACACAAACAAAAATAATGCAACCGTTTAAGATAACCAAAGGATGGGGTTTAAAGCGGCACACTAAATATCACTGAACACGTCATCTAGTCCCTGCCTGGAGAATGCAGACATTGACAATGTGTTCTTGGCGACTGTACCTGGACTGTCTTAAAAAACCTCTCACGGGAAGAGCATAATCTAAACGGAGGTGAGCAGGGCAGCTGGGTGGCTCAGTCGGTTGGGCATCCAACTTCAGCCCACAGTTCGTGGGTTCAAGCCCTGCACTGGGCTCTGTGCTGACCCTGGAGCCTGCTTCAGATTCTGCGTCTCTTTCTCTCTGTCCCTCCCCAGCTCGAGCTCTATCTCTCTCAAAAATAAATAAACGCTGAAACAAGTTTTTAAAACAGAGGTGAGTTACTGAGGGTGAGTTACTTTCTTTTTTTTTTTTTTTTTTTTTTTTTTAATTTTTTTTTTCGACGTTTTTTATTTATTTTTGGGACAGAGAGAGACAGAGCATGAACGGGGGAGGGGCAGAGAGAGAGGGAGACACAGAATCGGAAACAGGCTCCAGGCTCCGAGCCATCAGCCCAGAGCCCGACGCGGGGCTCGAACTCACGGACTGCGAGATCGTGACCTGGCTGAAGTCGGACGCTTAACCGACTGCGCCACCCAGGCGCCCCGTGGGTGAGTTACTTTCAATACAAGAGTAAAATAAACCCTGCCGGATCCCTCGGGCCTTCTGGTTTAAAGCTGTGCGCTGTAACCACCGCCAGGACAAGCACACCAAACGTGATAGTGCCAAGGTGGTGGTCAGCAATCACTTAGACCAAGGTTTCTCATCCTGAAGTTCTTTAAAACGTACGCCACATTTTGAGACACTTACCCTTCCCGTCTTCTCATCAAATCCCCAAGTGAGCCTGCTGGGTTCCTTTCAAGGGGCCTAATAGTGCACACTCCACAAACACATTAGAAAGCATTGTATCTTTGGGGGTTCCTCAGAGCCTAGACAAGTCTATTGAACTTGACTTCTTACGGGTTATATTATGAAATTACTTTTCTCCATGTCCCCAAAATGAAACTTTGTTACTTTTTAGAAAACCTATGCAGACACATGCTATCCCAGAGATTCTGCACCGCCCCTCCTGTGACAGGCAGGGCTCCTAATCCAGCGTTACTGACTTGGCCCGATAATCCTCTGGATTGAGCCGTCGTGATTTTTGATTTTACAAGTCCTTACTTTAGCCAGAAACTGGACCTAGTGAGTTCTCATAACATTTAACTATTTGTTTACTCCCTTCTATTTCTATTCTCTTTAACAAGGTCGAGGTGGGGAGGTACAAACTAAGGACTAGAAGTTTTGGTCATATAGGATAAATAAACCATTACTACGGCTTCCTACTTCTGCCAGAACCTGCCGATTACATTAAAGTCCAAAACCTAAAGGAAAAACAGGAATTTTAGTTAAAAGTAACTAATAAGCAACGGTGAAAAACTGAACTATTATAGAAATGGAAACAAACATTTCAGTCAAGTTAATTTGGACTCAACTGTCCTACCACTTCAACTACCTAAGTAACGCTTTAATAAACAAAATGTCCTAGTATCCAAAGTGAAAGACTGTACGTAGCACGGAAGGAAAAGAGGATGAAACATTTAAGACTATTCTGAAATTCGTACATCTCATCCATGATCCAGATCAACTGTTTTACTTTTTCTCAGTTTCACTCTTTCCTTCGATAGCAGGGTACAAATGTTATAGCACATGGATATTCTTAAGAGGCTTGAATAGCAAAACACCAGGGGTAAGAACTAAAATGATGGCTTTAGCCATGTTACTCAAAGTGAGAAGCCTATGTCTTTGTAACTCTGTCTTACAAATAAAGTGCCCTGCTAGCTCAAATGCAAATCAGGATTCCTCTAAAACTTCAACTTGGGAAACTTTGTATTTCATATTTTTAAAAAGGCAAAATAATATTTAAAAATCTAAGTAAACTCTGAGGCTCAATGTTTGAGAAATAGGTTGCTTACAGTGAAAGAAATAAAACAGCTTTGGAAATGAACATCCTATGATTATCAACTCTTCAATTCCACAAGATGTTAATACGAAGACACAGGTTTTAAATTGCAGAAGTAACAAATATTACATATATCCACATTTTTGAGGGTCAATGCACAATAAACTAAAAACTGTGAAAAATAGTGCAATTTGAAAAATAAAAAAAGCCCATCCAACACAGTATTTCCAAAATACATGTGTCAGAGAACACTATTTGTCAGTGTGAGGAATACTGTTCTCAACAAAGCTATGAATAGAGATGATGGTTTAAAATAAACACTAGGAGGGGATGGACGCCTGGGTAGCACAGTCGGCTAAGTGTCTGACTCGATCTTGGCTCAGGTCACGATCTCACGGTTCGTGAGCTTGAGCCCCTCATCGGGCTCTGTGCTGACAGTACAGAGCCTGCTTGGGGTTCTCTCTTTCCTTCTCTCTGTGCACCCCCTCCTCCCTTGTACTCTCTCTGTCTCTCTCAAAATAAATAAATAAACTTAAAAAAATGCTTAAAAAAATAAAATAAACAATAGGAAGTGACTGTGTGCTAATATATTTTTATACCTAAAACTATTTATGGTTAAAAATGTTTCCCCTTTAAGTCAGCATTTTCCAAACAGCAATATATTTACAAAATAATTTTACAGTTAGCAGAAGGAAAAGCACGTCCACACTATAACTGTTAGAAATCTATAGTAAATCTTGACTCTTTCATAATAAATGATCTCAATTATACTCAAGAAAGCACAAGTTTCATGCTCCATAGCTAAGGAGATAGATGAGCATTTCATCAAGAAATTATTTGACATTACGTCTTCTTGAACAATGTACTCCCACTTAAGAGTCTCGCTAGTGTACAAAATAGTATGAGCACTAAATGGATGGCCGCATTTTTGCTGAGCAATACACACGCTTCATTTAAACATTCAAGGTTATCAGAATATTAAGAGACTGAAGAGGGGCGATCCTACAAAGAAACACTAAAACAACTTGAAAAATACCTGTCAGTAAAGTGGAAAGAGTGTCTCTTGGGACTTAAGTCACCAACAGAGAGCATGTGGGGAAAATTCAAGTTCAATCACAATGGCTCTAGACATTGAGTTAATATTCCTTCCTGTAGCACCTAGATCTGGGCACATTTCTACTAGGCATGGATTCAGTCTCAAAAGTTATGTCAAGCTTGGCACAAAAACAGACACTCAGATCCATGGAACAGAATAGAGAACCCAGAAATGGACCCACAAACATATGGCCAACTAATCTTTGACAAAGCAGGAAAGAGTATCCAATGGAATAAAGACGGTCGCTTCAGCAAGTGGTGCTGGGAAAACTGGACAGCAACATGCAGAAAAATGAACCTGGACCACTTTCTTACACCATACACAAAAATAAACTCAAAATGGAGGAAAGACCTGAATGTAAGACAGGAAGCCATCGAAATCCTCAAGGAGCAAGCATACAAAAACCTCTTTGACCTTGGCCGCAGCAACTTCTTACTCAACACGTCTCCAGAGGCAAGGGAAACAAAAGCAAAAATGAACTACTGGGATCTCATCAAAATAAAAAGCTGCTGCATGGTGAAGGAAACAATCGGCAGAACTGAAAGACAACCAATGGGATGGGAGACGATATCTGCAGATGATTTATCAGATGATAAAGGGTTAGTATCTAAAATCTATAAAGAACTTACCAAACTCAACCCCCCAAAAACAATCCAGTGAAGAAATGGGCAAAAGACATGAATAGACACTTCTCCAAAGCAGACATCCAGATGGCTGACACACGAAAAAAATGCTCAACATCACTCATCATCAGGGAAATACAAATTAAAACCACAATGAAATACCACCTTACTCCAGTCAGAATGGCTCAGATTAACAACTCAGGCAATGACAGATGTTGGCTAGGATGTGGAGAAAGGGGAACCCTGTTGTACTGTTGGTGGGAATGCAAACTGGTGCAGCCACTCTGGAAAAAAGTGTGGAGGTTCCTCAAAAAATTAAAGAGAGATCTACCCTACAACCCAGCAATAGCACTACTAGGTATTTACCCAAGGGATACAGGTGTGCTGTTTCAAAGGGGCACATGCACCCCAATGTTTATAGCATCCATTGACAACAGCCAAAGTACAGAAAGAGCCCAAATGTCCAGTGACGAATGAATGAACAAAGAAGATGTGGTATATCAGGACACCTGGGTGGCTCAGTCAGTTAAGCGTCCAACTTTGGCTCAGGTCATGATCTCATAGTTCATGGGGTCAAGGCTCGCATCAGGCTGTGTGCTGACAGCTCAGAGCCTGGAGCCTGCTTCGGATTCTGTGTCTCCCTCTCTCTGTTCCTCTCCTGCTCCTGTTCTGTCTCTCAAAATAATTAAAAACATTAAAAAAAAGAGATATGGTGTGTGTGTGTATACACATATATACATACAATGGAGTATTACTTGGCAATCAAAAAGAATGAAATCTTGCCATCTGCAACTATGTGGATGGAACTAGAGGGTATTATGGTAAGTGAAATTAGTCAGAGAAAGACAAGTATCATATGACTTCACTCATATGAGGACTTTAAGATACAAGACAGGTGAACATAAGGGAAGGGAAGCAAAAATAATGTAAAAACAAGGAGGGTGACAAAACCTAAGAGACTCGTAAATACAGAGAACCTAGAGTTGCTGGAAGGGTTGGGGGTGGGGGGGGATGGGGGGGGATGAGCTAAATAGGGAAGGGGCATTAAGGAAGACACTTGTGGGGATGAGCACTGGGTGTTATACACAGGGGATGAATCACTGGAATCTACTCCTAAAATCATTATTGCACTATATGCTAACTTGGAAGTAAATTAAAAAAAAAAAAAAAAAAAAGTTAAGTCAAGCTTGACACAAGCTGGATTCTGCTCAAAGTACCCTGTATTTATCTCCCCCTTTCTCAAAAGCCATCAGAGATACTGAGTGTCTGCTTTTGGACACCTGTTTCTCTTTTTAACTTCTAATGAGAGGAATTAGAAAATTATAAACCAACATCTGATGCTATGGCACAAGTATCTGTTTTCTATTCTAGAAGCATCTATCTGGTCTGAAAGCAAATAACGAGATGAACTAATGCCAACAACTTCAGTGTCACAACAACTGTTAACACAAATCAGCCACCTCTACATCGCCCCCAAACTCTCATGACCACATGCCCTGTTTATAGGCAGGAGCACTCATCAAAGAAAGAAACACTCAGAACCCAACACCACCTGCCACTAAAGGTCCTTATTAGTATTCCCTTTAGATGGACTGCAACCTACCTCTGGTAACACTATCGATGCATCCATCCTCCATCAATCTAAGCTGGCCCTTTGATAGGTGCTGAAGAAGAGCCCATTCCTTAACTATCGGATCCTAAAATGTATTACCTTTACTTTTGAGACATTAAGGGATTGCCAGTTTAAGGTAAGTACAGCTTTTTTAGAGCACGATTTGGCAGGACCTAACAAAAACTTAAATGTGTATACCAGATAAGCATTCCACTTCCAGGAATGTACTCCTTAGACATACTAGCCTGAGTGCACAGGCTATATGTACAAGGGGTATTCCACGCACTTGTATCTATAATAACAAAAACACAAGATAACCAACTAAATTGCTGTCAGTAAGGAAACACTGTACAACTACTGAATAAAAATCAAAATAAATACATATATACTGACATATAAAAATATCTATTACATACTGAGTAAATAACATGTATTATATAATGTCATTTTGGTAAAAAAAAAATACATTACAAATATGTGTTTGAAAATTTACAGAAAAAGATCTAGAAAGATGGGAAACCAAATTAACAGTGTTTAAACCAATGGTTACTGAAGGAGCAGAGGATAAAGGGGAACTTTTACTTGTTACCTTATACATATTACAACTGAGGTTTTCTTACATAAGCATGTATTACTTCTACCAAAATGAATCATAACTTCAAAGAAATACAAATAGAGAAATGTGACAATTTCCCTTGAACATATACCTTTTCCAATGCCGTTTGAAAATTTAATCACATTAATTTTGGATTAATGACTTATAATTTTTTTAAAAAATCCTTTCATTTTACATGATTGAAATTAAAATTTTTTAATTCTACCGTTTTCCTTTGGGTTTGTTAGTAATAACTTATAGCATTTAGTTTAATACCCACTCTTTTCTGATATGAACCCTGGCTCGGTCTCCTCTAAGACAGAATGTAGCTGGGAGGGTGGTCTTAATTCATTGTCACCAAGTACACCCCCAGAATTCTTGACATAGTCCTGTTCTCTGTTAGTGTCATAATTGCTAAAATGAGAAAAGAAAAAATGAAATCATAAAGCGAATAGTTCTATTCACAGCATATTTACCATATAAACAAATGTTTACTGAGCATCTAATTTATGTTAGGTACAATCCTGTAATGTTTACCATCTTTGACAGGTCTCCAGAGCGAAGGGCGAAATTTGGTCTATAAGCAGTAACACACATAAGATGAAATGCCTTTCTTTTAATATTCTTTAAGTTCTGAAGAAAATTCTGTTCACAGAAATAAGTTATGCTTATAGTAATCACATTGGCCTCACTTAAAAAAAAAATCTTTTGAAATGAAGAGTAGAGATTATAGAACTGCATGCATGTTCTACTGGTTGAAAGTAACAAAATCAAATAGAATACAGTTAAAGAAAATCTCTCCCCACCACTAAATATGATTCATCCATTCTTTAGATACAACTATTAGGGTGCCTATTACATATATATGAGAAACTGTCTCTACAATGAAAGCTTAGACTAGAAAAGGAAGATGAACCTGTACAGAAACCAGTACTATAAATACGTGGGAGAATCTAGAACACAATGTAGTGGATGCATCATAGGGATTCCATTAAGATGGGATATATCAAGACGTTTCAGAGGGATCGATAACTTGAAGTCTGAGTAGGTGCTCAAATAATAAAGCCAAAAGAAGGGCTAACCCGTATATTTTCTGGCAACAGAAACAGTATGAGCAAGGGAGAGAGAAACATATGTAAAAGGAACTGTGGGTAGTTTATTTGAAGAATTCAATGTACTTTAAAAAAAATTAGTATATTTTTAGTTTTACAATAGTACACCCTTTTCCAAAAAGGATCTGAGGCAGAATTGTGTGGATGTTATCAAGATTTTTCAGAAGAAGTTGTAATACTGACGATATTCATTCATTAAGCAAATAGGTTATTTATGTCAAGAGGGGAGAACTAAATTGGGAATCAGGAGACCAGGAGGGTAGGCCTACCACTAACTTGTTTTAAGACCTTAGTATTGTAACACTGTTGACACTTGCCTTCCCAAATATCATGCCCTGTTTTCTTTCCTTCCCCCAAACCACAATTTTGTTTAGGTATTAGATGATTCCATGCTTTAGGCGGGAGGGGGAGGGAGGGAGAGAGAGACAGAGACAGAGACAGAGACAGACAGAGAGAGAGAGAGAGAGAGAGAGAGAGAGAGAGAGAGAGAATGAGTGTGTGTGTGTGATATAGAGAGAGAGGGAATTTACGCTCATTATGGTATCTGGCCAATGAGATGTGAATGGACATCAGTAGAGAGAATTCTGAAGGAAAAAACACATTCTCCCCATCTCCATCTTCTAGCCTTAGGGCCTCGTTTTAAGATGTGTTTGCTGCCCGGAATTCCTTGCAACCAAGATGAGATTGATCAGCCGGCACATTAAGAGTGAAACAAAACAGAATCTCAATCACTGAAGAAGTCCTTGAAATGCTGAACAAATTCACCTGGAGCTGCCCTGCCTCTCAATCTTTTGAGATGTGAAATAATAAATGTTCCTTTATTGTTTAAACCACTCTCGTTGGCAACTGAAAACACACTATGAACTTGGTTAAATCATTTATTTTAATGTCTCATTTACTTGGAATTATCTTTTAAAAAAGTTTTTTTTAATGTTTATTTATTTTTGAGAGAGAGAGAGAGAGAGTGCCAGGTGGAAGAGGGGCAGAGAGAGAGGGAGACACAGAATCGGAAGCAGGCTCCAGGCTCTGAGCTGTCAGCACAGAGCCTGACATGGGGCTCGAACTCACGAACTGTGAGATCAGGACCTGAGCCTAAGTTGGACGCTTAACTGACTGAGCCACCCAGACTCCCTGAAATTATGTTTCTAAAGCTCCTTTCCATTCTAACACTGTGACTTTACCAACTGCCTTCCTGAAGCCCTGTTATGTATGAGGCATTGTGCACTGCACTAGATAATTTATCAAATTCCTCTTTTATTTGTCACCATGCATGGAGACATTTATCCTAGTATTTATTAGCAAGAAATCACAAAACCTAATATAACTTGAAACCTAAAATATAAGGGTATTTAAAGCCTTTGATTCCCACCTACTCAGTAAGTCTTACCTCCCTCCCACACACAAGGGAAAAAGACCCTTGATTCAGATCACTCCTAATGTAATTTCCCTTACTAGTTATATACAAAGTCTGATTTTCACACTCCTCCACCACTTCAAGTTTTCCTCACATTGAAAGCCCCCAAATCTAGCTTCTCTGATGACTTAAAAATTTTCCACCTGGCTAGAATCATTCTTCACAAGCGTTCCACGGATATTTACCGTAGTCCTGCTCTATGTACAGGTCTGGGCTGGAGCTCGGGAACACGGGAACAAACGGGAGACTGTATGTCTTGTCTACCTGCGAGAGTGGTCTCTAACATTTAGGTCATAATTTCAGAACTGTCTGTCAAAGTTCTGTTCAGAACAAGCTCCTCTTCCATGGAACAAGTAATGAAAGGCACACATTTTGTAATCAGAAGGACTTGGCAAGACAAGATTTTGAAGCTACCTTTGTGACTCCGAGAAAGCTGCTTAATCTTTCTTCCCCTTCTTTTTAAAAATAAATGTCATCAAGGCACATACACTAAATAAAAAGCCGCATACCAGTAGTCTTATCAATCACTGCGCCTACCCTCCCAGGGAGCCCTGATTTCCATTCTTCTTAGGCAATCATTTTCAACTTTAGCTCTATCTTCTGGTAGAACTCCATGTTTGTAAATACAATAGCTGTATAAATTCATATCACTAATTTTGCTACGTCATTATTCAATGTTTCAATAAGTTGTATGCATTAATCATAGCTGGGCCACACTGGGTAGTCAATTTCCTTTTTTACATGATGTTTCATTTTTCTGAATTTAAGATGGTCTCTGCTTAAAATTCTCCCAGAGAACCCAAATCTCCTCCGAACAGATAGATACATCAAGTGTTTGGAGACGCTGTTTGTGCAGCATTGTGTCCTCCAGCTTCAGTCTGGACCTGTGCTCCCCGGTGAAGGACCTGTGCTCCAGGTGAAGGACCTGTGCTTCCTGGTGAAAGACCTGTGCTTCCCGGTGAAGGACCTGTGCTCTCCAGTGAACCAAAGAGCTTTGCGCCCTTGGTGGGGGATGCTGAGATACAGCACTGATGTATAAATGTTCAGCACGATCCCAGTTGGCAGAAACCGATGACCTGACTCTAAAACTTACATTCAAAGGATACAGAACAGCCAAAACAATTTTAGAAAAAATGGCAAATTTGAAGGATTCACCACCTGATTTCAAGAATCACCACAAAGCTAACGCAGTCACAACTGTGGTGTTTTAACGATAATACATACAGATCAGTGGGACAGCATGAGAGCTCAGAAACTGTCAGAAGGCTGCCAATATAACCCAAGAGGAAAAGAACAACTTGAAAAAAGATGATGCTATAACCACCAAATCAGAAAAAACAAACAAACATGAACCTCAACCCCTACCTCAAACCATAAAATTCAAACGGAAATGAATGACAGACATAAACGTAACCGCTACTGCTATGAAGTTCCTAGAAAAAGATCAAAAGAGAAAATTCTGACCAGGGGGCAGGTTAAGATTGCTTAGGGCATAAAAATCAGTTCTCATAAAAGAAAAACTGATACACTGGACTTCATGAAAATTATAAAACCTTCTGAGCTTCAAAAGACATCATTAAGAAATTAAAGTATTTATGAAGGACGTGTATCCAGAATATACAAAGAAGTCTTTTTTTTTTAATATTTATTTATTTTTGAGAGAGAGAGAGAGACAGAGCGTGAGGGAGAGAAGGACAGAGAGAGGGGAAACACAGATTCCGAAGCAGACTCCAGGCTCTGAGCACAGAGCCCAATGTGGGGCTTGAACTCATGAACCGTGAGATCATGATCTGAACCAAAGTCGGATGCCTAACTGACTGAGCCACCTAGGCGGCCCCAGAGTATACAAAGGACTCTTAAACACACTTCACAAACAACATACTAACAGCAAGTACGTACGTGGGAAAATGGTCAACATTATTAGTTATCAGGGAGGTGCCACTTGCTCACCAGAATGACTAAAATTAGAAAGACTGAGAATACTAAGTGTTGGCAAGGATGAGGAACCTCTGGAACTCTCATACATTCCTGGTAGGAATAGAAACCTATATTGCCATTGGAAAAATGTTTTGCCAGTTTCTTACAAACTTAAATATGTACTTACTTTATGGCCCAGCAATTTTATTCCTACATATTTACCCAAGAAAAATGAAACATTAAGTCCATAAAAAAAAAATGTGTACACGAACTTTCGGGGCACATAAGCTAAAACTGGAAACAATCTAAATGTTCATGATAGGTGTTTGGATAAACTATGGTCTTTTCATACAATATACTATTCTACTCAGGGATTTAAAAAAAAACCTGCTGATACATGCATGAATCTCAAAAACATTAAACTGGACAAAAGAAATCAGACATAAAAAGTACACACTGTAGGATCCATACATACATGAAGTTCTAGAATTGGTAAAACTAATCTGTAGTGATAATCGTATCAGTGGTTGTTGCGGGTAGAGGGCAGGAATAGAAAAACTGATTGCAAGTGAAGCAGGCATGAAGGAACTTTCTGGGGTGATATAAATATCCTATATTTTTATGGGTGTGTTGCTCACAGGGTTCACACATTTACCAAAATTCACTGAACTATATACTTAAAATGTGTTTAGCACCAAATATGGATATGAGATAGCATATAACATCTGACCCAAATCCAGTAAAATTACTGGATTTTATGTGACCATAAAAAAATTAATCTCAAGAGCCCCATGCTTAAAAAAAAAACAAAAACAAAAAACCAAGAACTACTTATAAATGACGTAAGTTAAATTATAATGAAATTTAAAATGTTTGAACTGAATGACAATGAAAACACCTATCTGAACTTAGGCACATGCAAAATATCTACAAGAAAAAACTACAAGAAAACCATTAATTTTAAACGTACATGTTAAAGCAAAACATTTGAAAATCAGTGAACTGAAGAGTCAATTCAAGAACTTAGAAAACAGAGAAGTGGTAAATTCAAAGAAAATAAGCAAAGGAAGTAAGTAATAAAGATTAGAAGCTAATTGAATAGAAGAACAAAGAACCACAGAGCAGGAACATATGTGGTACATATCCCCCCACCTGAGCCTTTTCTCACATATTTATATCAGTTAACTACTGCTTAGTAACAAGCCATCTCAAAATTCAGTAGCTTACAACCACAATCATTTACTACTGCTCACATTTCTACAATGTGGGCTGAATTAGGCTTAGTCCAGCTGGCATAGCTCCGATCCATATCTCTCTCATCTTCCTTCAGCCAGTGAACTAGCAGAGGCATGTTTTTCTCATGGAAATGGCAGAGGTGCAGAGAACAAATGTAGAACACCAAGTCCTCTTAAGGTTTATCAGGCCTGAAACTAACATACTGTCATTTCTACCTGATATTATTGCCCACACCAAGTCATACAGCCAAACTCAAAGTCAGCGGGGAGGAAAAGATATCATCCTGTCCCTTTAGTGGGAAGAAATGCAGAGTCAGGGCAGGAACGCAAAGAGGAGGAGAGCCCTGGGCTTCATAATACAATTGATAGTGATGATGGTTGTACATCCTTGTGAATATACTAAAAACTAATTAATTAAAAACCAATGTAATAAAATACTACATTAAAAAAATAAGAAAGAAACGCAATCTACCACAGTATCACTGTAAGGATGTTGTGCATATTCTTGTTTTTCATATTTAAACAAGATGAATTATCCTGAACCAGCAGAATGCTCAGGATGTAGGCAGGGGTGAGAGCAGTTTTCCGTTTTCTTAATTTAGGAGTTCCCCCTTCTTCGTTCCTGCATCCAAGGATTTTTGAAAAAATAATACGGTTCCTTTGTTGTCAACCTGCAAGTGTACTGTGGATCAGGAGGGTGTGTGTACTTCCAGCTGTTTTCCTCTTCAAGATCACTAAGAAGACACATCCCTTGCTTTCCAAGGTTATATACTCACTTCTAGGGAGTATTTTGCTAGCTCATTTTAAGATCTCTGGGCCACTCAGGTACTTGCCAATTCCTCTCTGCATTCCTTAATGGACACTATACGGCTGTTCAGTCTCAGCCTGGTAGGCAACGATTCTTTTAGGATGGGACTGCTGCCAGGACTGGATGGCTGCTGGAAATTTCTGAGCTATGCCCCCTCTGCACAACTCTGCCTTTTCTCATAGAACTGCTGGGGCTTCCGAACAGTACTTATGTATATATTCAAGTTTACCGGGTTTCTTTTTCTCCTTCACTTGTTCAAAATGTAGTCTGAGAACTGCCCCCTGCCTCCCATTCTTTATGGAAGTAGAATGATTAAAAACTAATCTGGCCTTGTTCCTTTTGGAACTATACGTTCAGTCTGATGATTTGGTTTCATTCTGTTTTGTTCTTCAGGGCATCAGACAGAAGACCCATTCAACCCACAAACTCACATCTTCCAGTTCTGGGACTAGATGGTGGTTTCCTCCCACTGTGTAAGACAAAAGACCTCCTTGACTGGTGCTCTATCTTTCTTATCTTCACACCCTTATTTTCTAATGCTTGTGGCCATTTTATTTTGGGGGGAGAGTTCTTGAGCTTTATTATCCAATCCTTACATATTTTTTTTCTGCTCTTACAGAGCCCTTTTCTGTTTTCTAAATAATTAAAAAAAATAGAACCTCCTCTTCTTTCATGGATGTCGTATCATTTCTAAAGATGCTATAGTTTTATTTGGTTGAAGTTTCTTCTGTTAACTGCAGTAAATTTATTTCTACCAAGCTCCTTTTATATCCTACTTGTTTATCCCTGTTTGATTTCTTTCATGTTAGACACTTGCACCCAGTGGCTGGGGATCCTCTGCTGTCCATTTATGTTTACACGTGAGGCACTTAAAGCTGCCTGAAAGTCTGGTGCATCAACAGTGCTTCTTGACCAGCAGCCCTTACTCTTTCACATGATCTGATGGTGATGCAGCTGTTGAATCGGGCAAACTCCCAAAGTCCGTGTCTGTTAAATATTTTGCCATGGTTTGGTAAGTTTCCCCAGAAAAGATTCCTTTAATATCTTGTTTAGAGGGAGCATAAGCTTGACTATTAGTTCTGAGAATCACACAGGAAGACAGTTCTGGTTTCACGCTTCAGTACGCTTTCACTTAATCTTCACTTTCATTGAGGTGCTCTGCCCCTACCTCTGCTGTCTGGCATGCCCAGTGAACGTCTCCTGAGTGTCAACCTTCAGTCCTCTGTCTGGGTAGAGGGGAGGTAGACAGTTGTCTGGGTGCAGACAGCAGGGAAGGGAATCCAGAGCATGAAAACTACAAAAATCATCACTCAGACCTTCTATTTCCACTCCACCCTTTATTCCCACCTTGACAAGTATCCGGTACTTCTAAATCCTGAGCTGCTGCCAGACTGCCTGGTGGGACTACGCCTGCCCCTTGATGGCTTTCGGGTCTTCAGCCTTCAGCATCCTCTAATCCACAAAGTCACTTATCACCTGACCATCTTCTTTCTAGTTTCCCAAAGCTGACTGCACCCGGCATCTACTTTCCCATTCTCTTTTTGTGGATTTACAACTTTATTGTTTTACTGTAACCTCAGTGGGATTTCCAGAGGGTGTATACAATTGGACATGTTACACTACAAGTGTCTACTTAATATAAGTCTTAATTTCTTCAATTAAAACATGTGGACTATATCCTCTAACTCTGGTAGTTACTATTGCCAGTGGTTGTTACTTTAACTTTTATCATTATGAAGACTTCACTTACTTAATGTATTGGCCGCAGACCTAAGTATATATCAAACAGCCAATAAATATTTCACTTAAAAAGAATTACCTTTTAGTGCATATATACTCAATAAGCAGGTCTTCATATCACAAAAAGTACAATCTCAAGTAGATCTTCAATGATATTTCTCGCACGGCACTCTCTTCCTTCCTTTCAGAGTACTTGTTATGATTCACAATTACATATTCATAGTTACTTCAGTAATGTCTATTTCCCCAATGAATCAAGCCCTATGGGGGCAGAAACCATTTCTGTTTTGCTTACTCAGCATCCAACCCAATGCCTGGCATACAGTAAATATGTAACTGGTAACTAAATAAAAGAGTACATAATATTTAGACTATTTAACCTGTCCCAAAACTCAATAAAAGGAACCAAGTTTCCCATCTTGAAAGCAGTCAAATGCTAGTACCAAAGTCTGACAAAGAAAGCATAAAAAAAGAAATTAAAGATTTACCTCTCTTATGAATACAGATAACTAAAATCTTAAAACATATGCACTGCCAAAAAGAATCCATCAGGATGTGAAAATGATAACAGGTATCAATCCAGATTCATTATAGGATTGTTAAAAATTGGTTCAATAAATAGGAAATCCAAACATTTAACTAACAACATCGATAGGTGGAAGACAACCACAGAGAGGCTGCTGGGTGGTGGGGTGACGCAGAAGAGAAACCAAATGGCAGACTGTCAAAACGAAGTTACCTTCTACCTGTTTATATTACGATGCCTTATAATGTGCAAATTTTTGTTGAAGAGGGTTTTTTTAATTTATGGATTATCTGTCACACTTAATCTAAAAAAACAAGCTAAGATGCTCCCAAATAAAAGATTTATTTAATAACACAGAAAAATGTCCTACCATAAACTGTTTAGGGGAAAGAAAAGCAAATTACAAAAGAGAAGCATATGTACCCATACATCTTTAAGAACACACACCACAGTTTAAACAACGGTCGTCTTCCGCATAACACTTAACAACATCCACGATCTTTCTTGTTTATTTGGTTATCCTCTCAGCACTAGTTTATTCATTTCATGAGTACAGGGAATCTGTCCTTTTCCAAGCTGTATCCCCAGTGCCTAGATCAGTGCCTGGTACACAATAAGGTTTCAATAAACACTTATGTAATGAATCAATTCATTTTCCAGATCATTTTTCTACTCACCTTGATCCACCTTCCCCTGACTTACCACTGAGTTCCAGCTATACTGATCTTTCTGATTCAGGCTCTTTCCTCTTTTCAGACCTTTGCATATGCCGTTATTTCTGACTAAAACGTTCTTTCTCCTGTTCCGTCCATGGCTTAGTTCCTGTTCTTCCTTTAGTGAAATCTACAAGTTTTTCCCTCAGAGAAACCTTGTTTTCTTTAAAGCACTAGTGTTTTCTTTAAAGCACTCATTACAACATGCAATTATTTTATCAATTTCCTTTTTGGGGGCTCATCTCCCCCACCAGACTGTAAGATCTATGCAGGCAGATACTCTCTCTTGTTCACCAGAGTCCCCCAGTGTCCAGCAGAGCTCACAGCACCACGGGAGGTACTCAATACCAAGTTATCTTTAGGTGGGTCAAGTATAGGTAATTTTTTTGTTTTTTTGTAACTTTTTGTATTATCTAAAAGTTGACATAAGCATAAATACAATCTGGGGGAAATAAAGCAATTTTCACTTTGTAAAAAAAAAAAAAAAAAAA